TCCCCTGAGACTACCCTGGGTTTATTTTTAGCACAGGCAGTTTGGAAAAATTACTTTCCCTTGCTGACTGGGACTGTCTTTACTCTGACACAGAATTCTGCACTTCCCACATTGGATTGAGAATGAGTGGGTAATCCATGCCTTCATTTTAGAGATGGAGGAATCACATTACTATGGGGATAAAAGACTTGCCATGGGTTACCCAGACACCCAATTGAAAGAGCTTTTCTTTGGTCCGTTGGTCTCAGATTTGTAAGATGTTTAACAGTGTAAAAATTGCAAGTTAGTCTGACTAAATTGGACAGATTGCTGGTAAAAGCCCCGCTCCCTAAATCCCAATTGATCCCCTGAGCCATCTGTACTCCCTAAAAGTGTTATTATTACTTTCAAGCTACATGCTCAAAAATTATTTCCCTTGGGAACACACACCTAACACAGACAAAAAGATTACTGCTTTTTTTCTACTCATTCAATACCCTTTGTCTCAGCTATCATGTTTGTTTCTTTCTTCCTACCTTATGTCTCATTCAACATTATATTCACATGCTATGATCTCCTCAGTCCCCTGTCGACTATTAGGTTGAACCACATGAAATTGCCAATATTCAGCTGGTTTTGACCAATAAAGGTGGTAACTTCATATAATTCAAGCAAACCCTATTAGAAAAAGGTATTAAATTGTGAAAATTCTCATGCAGAACAATGCAAGTTATTGACCAAGTCAACTACAGCTCCATAATATGGAATTGAGTTGGATGTGTATCCAAGCTCTAATACAATCTATTGTAAAATGCAGGCTAATTAGCATATGAAATGAGAATTTAATATTTGGAATATTAAAAGAGAATTTCAACTTCTGATAGGGAAAAAATGTATAACTAAGGTGCACTCATGTATGTTAATGTGCCAAGATTTTCTGTGTACAATGGCTGTGACCACTACTCAGCATATGCAACTTGCTCAGGTCTTTGAAAGCCAACTCTTTACATCCTTCCTCTCCCCCACCACCCCCAATTCCCTCCTCTCTTTCTCTGTCTCTAGTTTCTCACGGTCAGACTCCTGAAAAGAGCAGTCTACACTCACTTCTACATTCTGTTTCTTAGTCATCCTGTAGCTCACTCTAATCTGGTTTCTGTTCCCAACACTCCACTAAAAAAATTTCTGCCAAGGTCACTAATGAACTTTGATTGACAAATTCAATGGAAATGCTTCTGTCTTTATCTTTCTTAACTTCCTGGTTGCATTTGACAGAATGTACCAAGATTTGCTTCCTAATACTTCATCTCTTTCCTTGACTTGCATGATCTCTCTTTCTTTTGATTTACAGATATTTTCCCCAAACCAGATTTTCAGCCTTTTGAGGGCATAGGATTTATGTTTTACTCAGCTGTGTATCCCAGGGCCTAGTGTAGTATAGCCTCTGCAAAGTGCTTATCTATATTTGTTGAATGCATGAGAAATAATGAACTAGTGAAATGACAGCACTTTGTTAATCATTAGTCATTGCAAATATTTAGTTTCTCTTTGGTTTAATCCTTATTTCTAGCAACTTCTCTACCTGACTCACTGCTATACATATTTTTAATAATGTATATCTGGCAGGGTGCCACATTCTTCCTGTTTTCATCTCAGAAATCCTACTCCATAGTCGCAGGCAAGGCAGGTAAGATTAAAATCTCTACTGGTTCCTTTTCACATGGCTTCCTCTAATTCTGAGCAGTTATAATACGCTGGGCCATCACTCACGAATTTTAGTAAACTCCTAGAAAAAACAGATCTCCGTATCTTTTTATTCTTTTCCTCCCCAAAATCTATCACTTTGAGATCCAATAAAGTATATCCAACAAAAGGCCACTTGTTGCTTGCTTGACATATGACCCCAAAAACGGGGTATCCTAGCACAAGACTCAAGGAAAACAAAAGAAACATGTCAATAGAAAATATGATACACACACACACACAGTTTATGCAAGTTTAATTTCTGTTGTTTTGGTTGGAAAACAGCTGCAGGTGTCCTCTAATTATAACCCCATTTTCACAAATATCAACTGTCATATTTAATCTGTTATATTCACCATATAGCCTACTGTTGCAGCACATTTCTTTCATTACAGATTTAGTAGCAGAGTTTCAAATGCTCAAACTAACATTCAGGCTAGTCAATTAATGCATTATTTACAAGTTAAATGTTATTAAAAACAGGTTCTTAATTTGCTAATGATTTACTAGACCCAAGGCAATATTCCACTGTTTTTTTTGTTGTTGTTTTTGTTGTTATTGTTGCTGAAAATGGAAGAACATTTAAAACAGTTGGGATGGGAGGAATGTCAGGGATATTTTGGCCTCTTATCCATTTCTGAATTTCTTTTCTGCGTTCTTCTTTCTTGTGTGCTGTGTTTGATGCCTATATTAACCAGTTGCAGAATGGCTGAGAAGAAAGACTTAGGAAAAACAAGACCAGCATAAATACTATTGTGAGGGGTGTTTTAAAAAATCAGCAGGCAGGTTGGAATGACTAAATACACATGTTCCCCATACAATTGGGCATATTTTGATTTACAGTCCCATTCCAGCAGCACAACAGGTTAAGAAGGTTAGAAGTCAAGGAAATTAAATGTTATTGGCATTCCACTGTTGGCAGGCTGCACACACTGAATATACGTCTTTTCAAATACACTTGGAAAACGTTTATAGTTTCTAAGGTTCTAGGGCCTCAGAATCATCCCAACAATCCAAATTTTGTTCTTTGTTTTAGTTTTCTTCCTCTTTTTTGTTTAACCTGGATCATGTTCTAAATCCATACCTTTCATGTTCCATAATTCCATGGCACAGTGCTTATTTATGAGAGATAATATGGGGGTTCAGCTCTTTAATGAAAAATAATTCAAGTTCCATGAAGCCAGTTACCTCATCTTCATGCCTTTCCCTCCAGCTGTTTCATTGGCCTAGAGGAATCCATTTTCTCCTCCCTGTTTTCTCTGAAAAATTGTAAAAAACCTAAACTTCTTAATAAAATCTTGTTAAATTTAAGTGTAGCTCACATCATCATTCACTTCTCTGAATTCTAATTTTTTGTTTATTTATATGATATATAAATTTAAGATATACAACATGACATTTTGATATATGTATGTATAGGGAAATGATTACTACAGTCAAGTAAGTTAACATATTTACCATCTCATATAATTACCTTTCTTTTTTTTACAGTACTAGTACCTAAAATCTATTCTTTTAGCAAATTTCCAGTATACAATATAATGTTACTGGCTATGGTCCTCATGTTGCTCATTGCCTTCTCTAAATTCTTGTAACTTTTCACCAAAAAGTGTCATATAGTCACTCACTTAAATTTACACTGTGCTGTATTTTCCTTGCATGTAATTGTTTCTCTAAAGGATAAGCTATAGAGTCAGAAAGATCTGCTATGAATTGATGGTGTTACATAGGCCAAGCTATTTCTTTTCTCTATGTCTGAACTTTTCTCATCTCTTAAATGGAAATAAAAACTTGTATTGACTAGTTGTAACAACTGGTGAGAGCATATGTGTGAAGAGCCTGGTTAAATGGTAGCAGCCTGATATATGGCAGCTCCTGTTGCCATAATGAAATAAGACGATATGTATAAATTGCCAGGTATAGGCCTTGGCTCATGTTTGGCACTCAATAAAATTTAATTCCCCTCTATACAATGAATACATCACAATCATTTCTTGTTTTCATTTTCACTCAGATTAAGTTTTCTCAAGGGCAAGGACTAATTTTTTTTTCAAACTTTTCAGTTTGTGTAAATTAATGTTCCATCCTCCATATTTTGGGAGGTATTCTGCACATATCTCAGGACATCCAGAAAGAATTGAGCGCCTACTGCCCATATCAGCAAGCCAGGTAAGGCACTTTTTGTTGGTTCTTCTTTGTTTCTCACCTTAACTCTTCCTGTTCTCTCCAATCCTGGGATCACCTTCTAAATAGGCTACTGGTATCCAACCCCTTGTCTCAAGCTCTACTTTTGGAGAAACCAAACTAAGTAACGAAAAGATTCAAATGACAGAGAGAAAAACAATAGTGTGCAAAATAGCAGAAGAACTTTCAGAGCTGTCCAAGGCAGCAAAGATAGGAGAATGTCAATGGAATAAGACAAGAATAGAATTCATTCATTCATGCATAAAAAAGGTACTTATTGAGCACCTAGTATGTACTGAACATTCTTAGGCCTTAGAGATATGGCAGTGATCAAAACTGGCAAGGCATTTATATTGTAGCGAAGGGACATGCAATGAACAAGCAAACCAACATGCAAAATCATATTAGGGAGTGAGAAGAGCTTTGATGGTAAATGGCATAGTAAAAGGCTGTTTGCAGGAAAGGTAGCTATTTTAGACAGCGTGATCTATTTAGAGTGAATAAAGGCCTATCTGGGAGGGTCATATTGGAACAAAGACCTGGTCAATGTGAGAATGACCCACCTTTTGTCCACTGCCTACCTTCTCCTGGAGTGCAAGAAGAAAAAATCATATATGCTAGCCTGGGTATGGATAATAAGACAGGATCAAAATGCTGCTAGTTAGAAAAATGGGATGCACATATTTCTCAGTGTCCAGTTTTCCAGGCTGAGTGCTAAGCCACTCCAAAATGGACCTTAGAGCCGGACGTATGCCTCCAGCTCATGTGTAAGGTCTCTCTGAAGGAATACCTGGGAGGGTTTCATAATTTTATCCTTCATTTAAAAAAAATCTTTTATCCTATTTTTCTTGTTCAGGGTATCTTTTTCCTCAGTTTCCAGATAAAAAGACTGCCTTTATTTATATAAGACTTTAGGGTACATACAGAACATTTTTAAAGATTCTTTTTAATATACAAAGTGTACCAATGAATACTTTTTAATTCTTACAATAATTCTGGGTGAGGTAGGTATTTTCCAATTCCCATTTTATGCTTCAGTAGCCCTTTCTACTTCTCCTTCACAACACTTTATCTCATTTAATTCCCACACAACTTTGTCCATTAAGTATTTTTATCCTTTTTGATAGATGAGGAAACTGGGACTTGGGGGCTTTGCTTGAGAGAGCTGGGACACAAACTGAGTCTTTTGGCATCAAGTCCATGATTCATTTCAATGCTGAGTCCACTGGCCTCTTAACCAATCTTCATCCTTTCCCTGCCAACCCCGCTGATGGCAACGGGCTTTTATAAGCTGATGATCTTCACCTATAGGATCCCATTCCTCTGATGTTTCATCAGTGGGCACAGGATCAGATCTCAGTAAATCTAGAAGATTAGAACTGGAAAGTCTGAGGATAATTCTATCAAGAGATGCTGTGTATTTAATATTCTAACTTAGTCCAAGTGCTATACTTGATAGTATTTTCTCACTGCCACATTAAGATAACAAGGATTTTCTTCAATGTAATATTTACCTTTAATTATGTACAAAGGTGGCTGATTCTTAATGCTCCTCCTTTTGAGAAAACTCAAGGTGAAATTGAATATAATGCTTATGATCCATTTCACTCCACCTAGTGGGCCTTTTTTTTGTTTGTTTTTCTTCCAGGACATCCCTCTTGATTCTGAATCTGTACAAATCTTTCCCTTAGCGATGGGTCCTCTAACATCTGGGGGAAATAATAGACAATTTCTTCTGTGGGGCGAACTCTGCTATACAGTTTATGGTGTCAGGTGAATACTTCCTTGTGTTGCAGTCAGAAACTGTAGAGTTTTAAAAATTTAAAATTCATTCTTCTATGTCAGTATTTCAAAGTATATATGGAAAGATACTGCACTGTTAAGGAAATGGCTCTTAACATTTTGGAAATTCAAGGTGATGAATGTCTATATAAGACTCTCTCCTGGTATAAAGGTTGATAATGCTGAACATTTTTAAAGATTCTTTTTAATATACAAAGTGCACCAATGAATACTTTTTAATTCTTACAATAATTCTGGGTGAGGTAGGTATTTTCCAATTCCCATTTTATGCTTCAGTAGCCCTTTCTACTTCTCCTTCACAACACTTTGCTCACTTGTAATTATTTAATAAATTAGTTGTAATTATTTGTTTAATGTGCAGGAGTTACAAAAGGCAAGCTTTGTAACAAGACAGACCTGGTTATGATTCCTAACTCTGAAAGCTGCACACCCTGTGACCCTAGACAGGTGTCTTAATGCCTCACTGCCTCTGTTTCTTCCTCTGTAAAAGAAAGAAAAAAAAAAATCATGGCCTCATGATTTTTTTGAGTTTTAAAAGTAATAATGTGGATCAGTGCAGTGCTTGGCATGCTGAACCCATTCCAAGACTGTTAGATGTAGTTGTTATGATTTGTATTTATCCATTTTCACAGTGCTATAAGGAACTACCTGAGACTGGGTAATTTATAAAAAAAAAGAGGTTTAATTGACTCTCAGTTCTGCATGACTGGGGAGACCTCAGGAAACTTACAATCATGGTGGAAGGGCAGCAAGGCACTTCTTACAGGGCAGCAGTAGAGAAAGACAAAGAGAGAGTGAAGGGGAAAGTGCCATACACTTCCAAACAACCAGCTCTTGTGATTAATTAAAAAGTACTCACTGGTGTGCCTTGTATATAAAAAAAATACACTCACTATCACTAGAACAGCAAGGGGAAAGTCCGCCCCCTTGATTCAATCACTTCCCACTAGGCTCCTCCCCTGACATGAGGTTATTACAATTCAAGATGAGATTTGGGTGGGGACACAGAGTCAAACCATATCATGATTGTTCTATAATAAAGAGATGGCCACATGTGTTTCATCAGGGACAGTGCTCATTAACCAGTTGTCCTGCTATAATTATTAATAGTGTTGCCTTTCCTTTCAAAAGTGTCCTACTTTGCAAAAAGTATAGAAATGGAGGACAGATTAGTGGTTGCCCAAGATTGGAAAAAGGTAACGGTAAAGGGCACAGAAGTGGATGTGGTAATAAAAGGCATCATGAGAGATCCTTGTAGTGAAGGAACTGTTTAGTATCTCTGTTGTGGTGGTGGATACCTGAACCTAAACATGTGAAAAACTGCATAAAACTAAACATACACACAAACGAGTGCAAGTTAAGTTGGGAAAATCCAAATAAGATTTGTACATTGTATCAATAGGTATATCTTGATTGTGATGTTGTACCATTGTTTTGCAAGATGGTACTATTTAAGGAAACTGGGTAGAGAGTACATGAGATTTCTCTGTATTATAACTTCATGTGAATCCACAAGGATCTCAGGATTAAAAAAGATATCCTAGTTTGGAAGATAAACAATATATCCCAGTAGTAATGTCCATTATCCCACCTTCTATAAAAAGAAGTGCCATTGTCTCCCTCAAGTTTTTTTATTTGGTTTTATTCTTCTTCACAGTATCTACCTCCACTTGGCAGATTACATTTATTTTTTTCATCTTTCAACAACTATTTACTGAATGCCTAGTAGATGCCAGGCTTGAGATCTAGTAATGAACAAGATCTCTGTGAAACTTACATTCCAGTGTGAGAAATAAATAATAAACGAAAAATATAGTTGATAAATTACTTAATATGTTGGGAAGCAGTATGTGTAAGGGAAGAAAGACATAGAGCGGTGGATTAGGGTTCCCCAGAGAAACAGAACCAACAATTGACTCATGTGATTATGGAGGCTGAGAAGTCCCAAGATCATAGTTGGCAACCCAGAGACCTAAGAGAGCCCATGGTGTTTCTGATTTGAATGCAAAGGCCCGAGAGAGATGATGGTGTGGTTACAGTTCAGAAGCCAGGAGGCTTGAGGCCCAAGAAGAGCCAGTGTTGCAGTTCAACTCCAAAGGCAGGAAAGCAATCAGGCAGAAGAAGTTCTCTCTTACTCATGGGCAAGTCAGACTTTTGGTTCTATTCAGGACTTTAAGTGATTGGATGCCAATCACCTATGAGGCAAAGAAATATGCTTTATTCAGTCTACTGATTCAAATGCTGATCTCATCCAAAAACACCCTCACAGACACACCCAGCATAATGTTCAACCAAATATCTGAGAACCCTGTGTTTCAGTCAAATTAACACATATGAGCTATCTCAGCAAGATGAAAAGCAGTGAATGCAGCATGGTGTTTGAAATTTTAAATAGGGTGGTCATATAGTCTCATTGAGAAAGGAACATTTGAGTGAAGACTTGAAGGAGATGGGAGAATAAGCCATTTATTTGCTTATTGCTTGTCTCCCTCCATCAAAATGAAAGCTTCATGAAGCCAGAGACTTAATTTTTATCTGTTATATCCCTGGTGCCTGGTGCAGGATAGGTACTCAAAAATATTGGTTGGGTGAATGAGTGAATGACTAAGGATGGGGATTGGTTTGCATCTGGTTCTATCTTCTGTCCTTAGCGCTGTACCTGGCACATCCTAAGCCATCAAAAAGTGTTGGTTATATGATTGTCTTTGAATTCCATGATTGTTTATAATATCCAATAAACTTCCCCGAGGACACCGACTCACTTGCTTTGTTTGATATTGTGGCCCCAGTGCTTCAGCACTTAGAACAGTGACTGGAAAATACATAATAGTCAATAATTGTTACTAAGCAAATGCGCACAGATAAGGAGACTGAGGTTTGGAAATATTAAATGACTTGAAAATGTTCTTACAGCCAGGAAGCAACAAAGCATGGGGCTGAAATTTGTCTTTTTAAATTCTCAAATTTCAATATTTCATCTATCTCAAACTGCTTTAAAAATGGTCCTGGGTTTTCTCGTTTGGCCGTGGCCTTTCTTTCACCTACACCACCTCCCTTCCTTGTCCACGCCAGGCTGTGTTGTGTGGCCATGTCTCCCTGAGTGACAAGCGGGCAGGTTATATGGAGTTGTCAGCACACAGGCCTCCCAGAGGACGGCCTTCTCCTCCAGATACCACAGTGTACAGGGGACACTCTCTCACCTTAGCACAAGCAGAAGGTAATGCAAACTTTTGGCGACCATCGACTTTGCCAGACAATAGTGCCGTTCAGTGTGAAAGACTCCACCGGGAAGTTGCAGACTTTTAAAACTAATTTGGTGTTTATTCAACTTTGCAATCACTTCTTTGTACTATCTGTGTTTCACACACCGTGAAACGGCACTGCACTGTGCAATTGAATTAGTTGTACAGTGACTCAAAGGCATTAAACAATGACTTTGATATTTTAAGTACTGACTAGGAGGGATTTTTAATTCCTTCCTCATAATGAAAGCTGCAAAAAAACCCAGTTACACAACCCTGGAACACTTATTCTCTTTTCTATTCTGGGTGGACCCCACTGAGACAGAAAAAAACCTCCGAGCATTTAGTTTGCTTAATGGCAGAAGAAAAATTAAACAAGCATAGACGTGCAACCTTAATGACACCCAGCAACACTAGAATAACAGTTCCCAGCTTCTAAAACCTGTTATTTAATATAATGGGCAAATCTTGTGGGAGCTTTTCAGGTGCTGCTGAGTCTGTAAAAACAGCTACTTTGTGAGGAGGGGTAGGGGCAGAGACAGGGCGAGTGTCTTGCTTGTGCTTACTTGCTTAAGAGGGTCTCAGTGCAGAAACCAAGGCAGGCGGGTGCAGGTGAAATACAGCACTGGCAGGAGAGTCCCTGAAGGCTGTGGCCCTTCCATAGACAATGGTGTTGCTAAGCTAGGCACAAATGTGTCCATTCTGCTGGAAACAATATGGGACTTTTCATACAGTGCCTTTCTGGAGATGGTACTGATAGAAAGAACGGGGGAAAAACAACACAACAAAAACCCAAAACCACAGCAAGTGAATTAGTACCATGAAACTATGAGCATTAACTGGTAATAGTTCAGGGCAAACCACCTAAGTGATGATTCACGTCTGACAATAAATACATGAATAGCTGTTGAAAGCTTGTTTGATTTTCACAAAGAGGTTTAAGCAAACATTTGTTTGTTCATTAGTCTTAAGCAACACTTTTACAGCAGGGGATGCATTAAACCTAACATATGTCTGCGACCAAGATATTTGGTGGTTTTAAAGATGAAGATACAAAGCCATGCATATAGTTTATGCCGAGCGGCCTTGAACTACCTGTAATGGAGTGAGATACAGTTATTAGGTATTAATGCTGTGAATCTTCATCCAGAGAGAGAAAACAAACAGGCAACAAGGAGTGCAGCATCTTTGGAGATAAAGACTTAGAGGGCCCCATTCTGCAATTGGTATTGAGTTTGCATAAACTCATTTTGTTGTTGTTGTTGCATAATTTTTAAAAACGCAACTGGTTTAAATCTGTTCCCTGAGGTAATTTATGCTAAAGCAGCATTCTAACACCATAAATTCCCTGCTTATGGCAATCTCTGCTTGTGTGTCAGGTCGGTGTAGGTTACTGAGCAAATGGCCGCTTCAAAATTTTTAGGGTAATTGCCTCTATAACTCGTTTAGCATAGGCCCTGTCAGGAAATCTCTAATTGTAATTGACGCCTCCGCTTCCCTTTCTCCTCCTCCTTTTTAACCACATTGTTGTTCTAAAGGCTTCACTCTCCAGTGCAGAAAAGCATGGGGCGTTTCATCTTCCGTAGCACTTGAATTTTGTCATTATTAAAGCCTTTTCTCATGAAAACGTGATGTCACCCCGGACAGGGTCCGGAAGGTGGTGGTTAGTTGGGGGTACCTCTGCCCCAGCCCAATTTCTATCCTTGCTTAAGAAACCTTCAGTCCAGAGAAGGCAGATCTTGATGGGGTTGGGATAAGATAAAAAGCAAATTACCGCTAGTCCAATTCTCCTCCATTTTGTATGAATGCTGGATTGGCTGTTGATTGCTACCAGAATGGTGTGAACAAAGTCAACAGCATACTTCTCTCTCTTCTCTCATCTCGTGTACCGGCATGCTGCCTTGGTAGGAAGGATATCATTGGGATTATATATTACAGTATTCATGGCCAGGAGCTTCTGTTGATTTGTGTCTACACATGGGGATTTTTTTTATCAAATTGCATAAAGTATGTTAAATAATCAACTTTGAAATCCAATTCATTAATTATCTTGCTTAAAATATACTTCAAATATATCACATTTGACATCCTATGTCACTGATAGTAGAGGGAAATGATAACACTTAAAATCAATAAGTGTTTTAAATTTATTTTACCTATTATGGTTGTCATAATATTTTGACATGGGGGGCTGACATGTCAACCACGCTGTTATCAGGAGGTAAGGCAATGGCATTAAACTGTCTCACCGTCCGTGCTACTGTTTCAGCATAAAGTGGGCCCAGGGGGAAAATAAAGCCAAAATCTCCAAGGAAGTATCTGCTTATGAAGTCAATACAGGTCATCACTGAATAAACCAGCCTGAGCTCAAAACAAAAGCTGGGGGAGAGAAGTCTACACTCTAAGCTGTTATCTTTTCTCCCAAAGGATTCAAAAATAATAAGAGCACTAAAAATGTGCAAGCGCGTTCTGTGTGCCAGACTTGTGCAAAGCGTTCCACATGTTTTATCTCATTTCCTCTAAGAGGTGAGGTACTTTTACATGGCAAAACCCAGGTTTGAATGAGAGTCTGTGTGATTTCATGCCTGGCTCTATTCTCAGACACCAAAGCCATCACTATGCTGTATGGTTTGGAACGAAAATGGATTCTGACTTCTGGATCATCATGACTTTCCACCCAGAATCCTGCCTTAGACCTAAATCCTGGCCACTTCTTACTGTGGATGGTGATGCAGTAGGATTTGCACGTGGACAGTGGGTTGTTACAACATGCTTTGGTACGCCTGGAGAGGGTAGGCTTGAAGGCAACTAATGCTCTTCTCTTTGTCTCTAAGCATTAGAGATTAAAGGCAGATTCAAAAGAAATAGTAAGAAAGGAGAACTTGAAAGCTATGTGGGTTTTTTTTGCTATTTAGGACACAGGCAAAGCCAAAATTGTTTTTAAAGGCTAAATGTAGGTTTGACCCTGCTTGAAGTAAGCACCAAAGCAATGAGTAATAGAAGAGACTTGGAATCTGACAACAGCAGCATTCTCTATGCCCAGCTAATTAGAAGCCAGTAAAGAGCTCCTGGTGGGCAGGGCTGATGTCTTCTTTACTTTAGTCCCTGTTTTGTACAGAATGGGTGCCCAACCAGGATTGTTGAATGCAGTTTTTCATCCATGGCCAGGAATCAGCAGCTTGTTCCTATCTTAACTCCTCTTTTCTCAGCTATTGGTTTGCTTATAAAATGTTTTCGCTTTTCCTGAAGACTTAAGAATTAGCCTTGAGGACTAAAGGCTAGTCATTTGTTAACATAATATTTATCTAGTGTTATTTTTATGGACAAGGCTCTGTGTTAGGTGCTAGGGATAAAGCAGCAGTGAGGCGGGGCACAGTGGCTCATGCCTGTAATCCCAGCATTTTGGGAGGCTGAGGTGGGCAGATCACTTGAGGTCAGGAGTTCATGACCAGCCTGGCCAACATGGTAAAACCCCATCTCTACTAAAAATACAAATATTAGCTGGGCGTGGTGATGGGTACCTGTAATCCCAGCTACTCGGAGGCTGAGGCAGGAGAATTGCTGAAACCTAGGAGGTGGAGGTTGTAGTGAGCCAAAATCATGTTACAGCACTCCAGCCAGGGCGACAAGAACAAACTCCATCTCAAAAAAAAAAAAAAAAAAAAAAAAAGCAGCAGTAAACAAGATGGTCAAGCATGGAAGACAGATGTCAGTCAACAGATCAGGCAATTATCTAATTACCATGGTGATAAATCTTATGAAAAAGTGTAAATTGTTATGGATGTTCAGGAGAACTCGACCTAAATTAAAAGATGTGCAAAGATCTTCTTGGAGAAATGATGTTTGAGCTGAACTATTTATGAAGGATAAACAAGAATTAATCAGGGCAATTGGAGTAGGGAAATGGCAGGAGGGGGACTGGCAAACAAACAACGTAAGGAGAGAGAGTGCATTGGTGAGAATGCTCCATCAGAAGAAGCTTGATAGTGTCTAAAATAGAAATCAGATCAGTGCGGCTGGAATGCAGGGCAGAGAACAATGCAGCAAGATGAGACTTAAAACAGTTAAGGCTTATTGG